TTTAAGACTTTATTGTACAAAAAATACATCTTTTTATTTAAAATAATTGAAATTAGTATCTATTTATTAATCAAAAATACTTAAATAAATGAATAAAACTACACAACTCACACTAAGTAAACATAGTGTATATTATATTAAAGGAACCAAATAAATCATTAACATACTCAAATATAGTCTTTTTTATATACATACATAGACAAGCACCCAGCTATATGTTGAACTGTATACTAGAATCATAAACGGAATTGAAGCGGCGACCATCAGAAAATGAGTGAGACATGACCATTAAACCGCCGAGGTCAACATAACAAAGTAGCCTTACCATAGCAAAGAAGGCCTTTAAAAGTCCATGCGAAAATAAATATTAAAAAAAAATATTTTATTTGTACTACAAAAATACCGCAGGCAAAAAAAATGCATTACGTGACCGACAATACGAAAAGAGGAAATAATTTGTGGTCACAGTATCTACCATATGTCGCGACTGTTGCACAAAAATATATTTTTTTTTATTATTGCTACAAGAATTATTGTCCGTTTGTATATATTTTACTGTTGTTTGTATCAAACAAATCCCTATTACTATTAAAATTTGTTAACTTTATGAGAATGTATAATATTCTGATAGTTTCCTTCCTTTCCCACTTCATTACGTTACTTGTCGCCTGATTGGCAAGTGATATACATCTCATATATTATATTATATATATAAAAATTGCCTGTAATATAAATTAGAGAAATAATCGCATAAGCAATCGTAGGTGGCACAAGAATAGACTAGAGAAATGAGAAAAAACGTAGTAATATTAATATTAAAAATATATAATAATTAACATATACCCACTACTTACTAATTATATTACTTACAACTGGTAGCTACTTCATACTAATATAATGCCCACTTTGTATATAATTAAGTTTTTTACTCTGTTTAAAAGTGCAATAAAGAATATATATATATATATATTCAAGAGTATATTTACCTGTCTTTTATCTTTTCTTGCTCAAAGGATCTTGACGAATTTTTACAAGAAGGTAAATTGTATAACAAGCATGTACATATATCTTTTATCTCAAAAATAATAAACAAATTCGTTGGTAATAACCGGTAAGAACATAAAGCAAAACCACAACATCAGAGCAGAGGTATGGCCACGTAACTACTTATTACAAAATGGAAACCCCTCTAACATTACACAAAGTATGTTCTTGCAACATTTCCACATTATATATTTTCAGTAATATTACCAAACTATACAAATACAATAGTTTGTTACAATAGTAAAAAAAATACTTGCCAAGGCTCAAAAAAATAAGCCGTTGTAAATATTAAAACGTATGTATTGACAATACAAATCATCATTTCGTTCGACGGAGCGTAGCAATATTTTGATGAACAATACATTATTGTGAACTTAAATTTTGGTACCTACCTACTGCATTTTTTATTCAATGACACATAGTTTAATAAAAATATATAGGAAATGTACACACGGTAACTAAAATCGGTTTCCATATCGTAAGTTTTTTTTTTTTATTTTATACCACGTAGGTGGCAAACTAGCATACGGCCCATCTGATGGTAAACGGTTACCGCAGCCTATGGACGCCTGAAACACCAGGGGCGTCATATACGCGTTGCCGACCCTTAAGAAACCTTAATATACGATTCGTGAAGAACCACATGCTATATCTCTCGAGAAAACCTCGACAGGTAGTTCATTCCACAATCTAAGTGTACGCGGGAGGAAGCTCCTCTGGAACCGCACTGTCCGAACCACTTTGGTTCCAGCGTGTGGGAATGAATTACCTGTCTATGGCGAGCGGTGCGATGGTAAAAGGTAGCTGTAGGCATCATGTCAAACAATTCATCAGAACACAGTCCGTTGAATATACGGTAGAACACACAAAGTAAGTAAGTGACGAACTCCCTCGTGTGTAGCCAGAAATGTCTTTTGTCTGTATATATAAAATTCTCGTGTCACATTATTAGTTGCAATACTTCTCCGGAAAGGCTTAACCGAAATTTTATACAGAACTAGCTTTTGCCCGTGGATTCGCTCGCATTAATTTATCCATTAGGGGTGGAATTTATCAAAATCCTGTCTTAGGGGATGCCTACGTCATAGTAGCTATATGCATGCAAATGCATCTCAGCCCGATCAGTTTAAAATTAAAAAAGTTTCATATAAACTTTCATCCCCTATTTTATCCCCTTGGGGGTAGAATTAATCAAAATTATTTCTTAGCGGAAGCCTACGTCATAATATTTACCTGCATACCAAATTTCAACCCGATCCGTCCAGTGGTTTGGGCTGTGCGTTGATAGATCACTGCGTCAGTCGCCTTTGAGTTATATATATTTAGATAGAATATAAAATCATTTATTCAAATGAACTTGAAGCACTTTTGAGTAGTCATGTCATTTTTTTTAATATACCGCTCATTCGGAAAGAAGAATGAGAAAGAACTTGTGTGTTGCTTTTTTGCTGTATAAGCATAGAGTAGGTACCTATACAAAGAGTCATTAGGTCTGAGATACAGGTGATCTATTTCAAAAGAACGTTTGTCGTGTCAGCTAGTTTATTTATCTCACTAATATTAAAAACGTGGAAGTTTGTGTGTATGGATGTATGGATGGATGTTTATTTAGACTTTCACGGAAAAAGTACTGAATGCATTTTATTGAAACTTTATAATATTATAGCTCATACATCAGAATAACATATGGGCTAAAAAAGTCACGCAAGTAAAACCGCAGGTACAGCTAGTATTTTACATTTATGTCACTTCCTCATGGTTTAAAATTTAATTGAATTTATTCAACCATTGGTGAAAATGTGACAAACATACACACTTTCGCATTTATAATATTATAAAGTAATATAAACCCACAACAAAAAATAGAAAAACGTGTCTATAAAACCCGAGCTACTGAGCTAAGTGAGTGAATTGAATTCAAATACCAATACAATACAAAATACAATGGGTTAGGTACGCCGGGTTAAGTTATATCGCGCCCTCTGACCCGACTAATCGGAGTGGGGTGAAATTGTAGGTGGGGATTAGGGATGTACAGAATTAACCTACGTACAATTTATCGACATCGATATAATCACTATGAAATATTTAAATATCCAATGTCGACAACCATTATCCATTGTCTAGGATATAGTAATCGTGTCAATAATATATGTTATATTTCAATATAAAATATAGTCTGTGTTATTCTGATACATAAACTATATTACTGTAAAGTTTCATCAAAATCCGTTCAGTAGATTTACGTGAAATAGTAGCAAACATCCATAGTTACAAACTTTTGCATTTATAATATTATTATGATATTATACTGTATATATATTACTACAGTACAATATACTGTAACGCAATAACATATAACTCAACTCAGTGCACCATAATAAATTGAGATTGAACTGCAAACTGTAGTAATTATAACAGGTGTCAATATGATCACTACTTGCTGGACTGGTAATATTAAACACTGCTGATAAAGCGATCACTTGTTTAATATGATGTGAGTTGTCAAGGTGACTGACTTGAAATATGCTGAGAGTTATTAGCGCCTGTAGATATTGTAGATATACATGCGCTCAGTTGATTAACTTGACGTTTATGTTTCAAATATATTATAAACTAGCTGTACTCGCGAATTCGTCCGCGTGGAATTTAACTTTATTTTACTAAAATTAGCCTAAGTTACTCCTTATTACATCAGCTACCTGCCAAAAAAGTGCCGTCAAAATTGGTCCAACCATTTCAGAATTAGCCGGAACAAACAGACAAACAGACAGTCAGACAAAAATAGTAAAAATTGTTATTTTGGTGTATGTACTGTATGTATGTATTTCAGTTTATTACCTAAATTATATTATTGTCTTAACTTTGAAAATTATCGTCACGGACTACACTTTACAATTAAAAAACATAGATTAGAATGACTAATGTAAATAATTGAGGATTTTTTTATTTACAAAAATTGATACAAATAGAAGTAAATGTAAAGGTATACAACATAATGTAGTGTTACAAAGACAATAAGTATTTTTTAAATATATAACAGCAAGAATATAATATATACAATAAATAGGAAGACCAATAATTTTATTGTAAAAATATTTATGTGGTTATTAATACAACCAACAATAAAATACCCCATGTATTGTATATTGAGGTACATATGTTGAGGTATCTAAATATTCTTACATAATAATATAGAGTTTACAGTTTATTTTAAACATATATCAATACTTATAATAATAAAAAAATCAAATTACTAAAATAATACTAATTAAATATTTTTAGCGATACCTACATTTTATCGACAGCGTCGCATCCCTACCGCCCAATAACGGTGAAGTAACGGCGAGTCACCCCATAGCCCCTCCTACAACCACGCTACCCTATGTACTAACCAACACCCCCGGCGTTGCGTGGGATGATACATACAATGACACAGCATTTTAATAACGGTTTTCGTTCTATTTTAAAATAATTATACATCCATGTTTCATTATTTTGTTAATGATTAATAATGTTATTATTGAAATATATTTCTTTGACAACAGACTTTAAAAAAGAGGAAAATATGATTTAAATATTTTATACATAAGATATTTAGTAGTTAGAGATATTGACTTTGATTATTTAGAAGGTGAAAATTTAGGGAAAATTTTGTTCAAAAGATAAAAAAAATGTTAGGGGTGGGTCGATTATCCCTACTTAGGGGTATAAAAATATATAGTAGCCGATTCTCAGACTTACTGAATATGCATATAAAATTTCATAAAAGTCGGTCAAGCCGTTTCGGAGGAGTATGGTAACTGACATTGTGACGCGAGAATTTTATATATACGATACATGAAGCAATATTTTGACAATGAAGTTAATTATGGTCTAATTTCGACCACTAACCGTCCATTAGTTCGTATAAATTCCCCATTTCGCAGAGACTAATTCCATCCTATTTGTTCCAGGTGAAGATATGGTTCCAGAACCGGAGGAGCAAGTACAAAAAGATGATGAAGGCTGCACAAGTGGGGGCACCACCCCCCAGCCTCGGTCTACCCCCAGGCAGCCCCCCTAACAATAACCAATTACTACATGGCAAGTATATTATTACATATAGTCCCAAGTTTGATATTAAAAATTAATCTATTATTAAAAACAGTACAAATTAACCTATATTAGTAAAGATGTATAATATTAATTTGAAAAAAATACGATCTGAGTTTATTGTTAGTTCTTCTCATCTCGAAATCATTCCGAACCGATCCGACGGTAGATTTGAGATATCATAAGAGTCTGCAATAGACCTATATGAATGTTGAATTTTTTATAACACTACGACTGATTTACTCTTATATAGTTCTCAACCAGTTGTTTGTATATTTAATATTTTCTCTATTTAAGTATTTCATTGAATAAGCGTTATTGGGTAGTTTGTAGTCACAAACTTAAACTTAGAAATGTAAAATAACAACTAAATTATTTAAAAGAGCAACACGAAAGTTTCTCGCTTCTGTTACACGCTCATTCCTCTTATGATAAGAAAGATTTACGAATGAGCGGTATTGAAAAAAAATTATTGAAAAAAAAAATGTGATGACTATTCAAAAGTGCTTCAATGTAAGTTTATTTGAATAAATTATTTTCTATTCTATTCTATAATCTTTATGTTTACACATGGTGACGGCCTCAGTGGTCTAGCGGTTTAGCACACCGCTTTACTTCCGACGGTTGCGGGTTTGATTCCTCGCACGGTACAAACATTTGTATTCGTGAGTATGATTGTGTGTATCGGTCCAGGTGTTTTCTATATATATTATGTATGTATTTAAAAAAATGTATCTACGTATTTATATCAGTTGGCTAGTACCCATAACACAAGCTCTACTTACTTTGGGATTAGATAGCTAGATAAACAGATTATGTTTTTCAAATTTACATAATATCTTTTTAAATTATAGCCTATGTCTTATTCTTATGTATAAGCTATATTACTATAAAGTTTCATTAAAATCCGTTAAATAGTTTTTGTGTGAAAAACAAACACCCATCCATCCATACTCACAAACTTTCACGTTTATAATATTAGTAAGATGTTTAATAAATACGATAGTTTAAAAACAAATATCTACATAGTAATAATATTTCTAAACTAACTTTATTGTTAACAGGAGGCGGCGGCAGTTCCAGTGGTTCTCAACATTCGCCGTCGGCGTACCAGAGTGGGGGCCCAACGCAGGCCCACTCGCCCACGCCGAGTTCCACGCCCGTCTCGGAGCTGTCCCCCGGTCTCTCCCCAACTGGGACGCCATGGGACGTGAAGCAACCGCCACAGCCGTCCTGGGACGTAAAGGTCGGATATGTAAGAAATTTTAAGCACATTGTCTCATATAACTGTATATACATACATATTTTATAAATGTAACTGTTTACTGTATGTAATAGGAGTTATATAAGAAAAACTATCAGAGGAACTCAATTTACGTCTATTTATCTGTAAATAAAAAGCATATTTAAAAAAACATTTACGTTCATAAACGGCTAAAATGTCCTACATGAATAAATTATTTTTGATTTGATTTGATTTATCTCCTGTTATATAAATTTGAATATATATTATAAATTAAATATTAATTGAAGAACATCTAACTATCTGTTTTTCTTAACTGTAGTTATTTATAAAATAAAATTATATATAAAATTGGTGGTCGATTTAAAAAAATATCTCAGATACAAAAAGCTTAATCAAAATTTTCCAACATCAAATCCATACTATACTTTTTTATACTCTATGACAGCAGGAATGTCACGTATATCATTTAACTTAGATTATCAACTGAATCATTTTTGTTACAGCCAACAGCGGGTCGATCGCCGGACGGTACCTCGTGTGATGTGAAACCTCCTCATCAACAGTCCTGGGACCCCAGGGTCGGATATGTGAGTAAAATATTTTAATATGTTATGCTAAATGGAACGAATTTTGGATCATTGACAATTTCATTGTCATGAGAATAAATATACTCAGTAATGTAAAAAATACGAAGTTACGAGTAGTACTATAGTAGATGTATTTAAAAAAAAACTAATTGTATTTTATAAAATTATTATTAATATTTTAATATTTTCAATAGCAATTTATGAAATTCAGTGTATTTAAGAATTATAAAAATTACATTTCTAAAATCACTATGCATTATAAATGTACCTTATACTTTGAGAACCACTGACTCATAGATTCATTCAATAACTGCCTCGTGAGTTACTTAGTATGACCTAAATAAATAAAGACATATCGCCACGACTGTTATAACAGCTGGGGTACATAGAAGCATTGTCAACTGTCAAATGTTGAACGCAACACTTGATATGCCCACATTTCGCTCTGTATATTTGAATCCAAACATAATAGGAGGCAATCCCACCGCAATTTCTCGGATTAAACAACTAAAGCTTTATATATATTGTACCTATCTTAAGGGGGGTGAAATTTTATCGTAGGAGGGTTTTTACGCTCGCTCGGAGGGTGTAGAAGGGCCGACCAGTGAGGATGACCCCGCCAGAGGGCGCCCCATGCCTTGGATGCTAAAGGTAAGGACTTGGGTTAAAACTCGCTGAAGGAATGGTAAATGGTTCTAGATTAATTTTATTTATATCTATAGTAATGTTTGTTACTAGTATATAAATTTTTATTAAATACTAGTAAAATAATTTAAAAATAAATTGTTGTTGTAGTATATATGTCGATGTATGATATGTATGTATTTATATATTATTATCAATTATAATTATACACAGAAATCACCCAGACCAGTAATACAGTAAACTATTTTTGTAATAAGTTGATTAGCATTTGGATTATCAGCGTTTTTTAATGATTTAGAAACATTAGAAGAATTGCTACTGTAAACTCTTTTTGTAATAAGTTGATTAGCATTTGGATTATCAGCGTTTTTTATAGACTTAGAAGCATTAGGAGAATTTCTAATATAAACTCTTTTGTAATAACTTGATTAGCGTTTGGGTTATCAGTGTTTTTATGGGTTTAGAAGCATAAGAAGAAAAAAGCAGTTGGTCTCTATCTGATTTACATTTGCGTGTAATTGTCCCACTTGTTGCGTGTCAAAACAATATAAACATACATGTATACAACATTTCCTTTTACGATATTAGGATGGGAGGCGTGCCTGCCGCACCTATCGCTTAACTTGATTAATTTAATAATATTTAGGGCAGTGGAATTTTTCCTATTAAATGAAATCTCAATATCCTAACTTCTATGTCTACATACAAATGGGAAATTGTGTCCGTATATCGTTTAGCTTATTTGTGTTAAGTTTCCTTTTATAATAATTTTTCAGTGCACAAAAGAGTGTGATTATTATTATTGTACACTGATGCAAAGCCAAGACAGGTCACTAGTGTAGTATTACAAATATACCAGGGAGGATATAGGTTATATTGCCACATAAATTATATCTGGACAGAACGACCCTTATCATATAGGTGTACTTAAAAGAACGACCTATTTTCAGATCTACCGAATATTCCAAAAATGTATAATATACAAAATAATCGGTCAAGCTTCAAGTCAAGCTCGAATTCTTTCAAAACACGGAAGAATTCGAATACTGTCATAAAACTTTTTAAGGATTAAAATATATGTTATAATAACATTTATATTTGTATGTATGTTTAACCAAACATCATAAATTTTGAATAGAATTAAATACTTTATATGTAAGTATTAAATCATATCAAAATACATTTTTTTATCTAACTGTATTTAAGTGTATTTAATTTATTAACATATTCATTTTACCTATTATTCTAACTATTTATTGAACGAGAATCGAACCAGCAATTGGAAGAAAAAACTGATAAATTACAGAATCAATGTCGGCTATGAAGACACCACATAGGGTTAACTGACCTGACTTCCTGCTCATCCATTGGTGCCTGGTCATCTTAAACTGTCTGTACAGGCGATGCACCATTCAATTATAAAAAAAGAAAGAACTGGTGATTTGAACAAGGTTCTCCATTGTTTCAGGGTGCGCCACCCGGCCCCTGGGACGTGAAGGGTGCTCACGCGCACGCACTGCACCACCAGGGGGCGCCGCAGCCGCACCCGCCCTACGTGCCGCAGTACTCCTGGTACCAGACAGACCCCAACCCTGGACTCTTGACGTCAGTATACAAATGTAATCTAATTGTATATAATCAGTATCCCTAAAATTGTAGGTAGTAGGTATACCTTATTATAATCCAAAATGTAAAGTGAAAAAATTAAAATAATATAAACTCATTTAGTAGTATATACTAATCCTAAAATTTAAGTAGGTGCACGTATATAAAATTATAAGTAGGTATACCTTATTATAATTGTAGTAAAATTGAAATAATATAAACTCATTTTGCACCTACGACGTGCTGCTGAACTCCTGGTACCAGAAGAACACTAACACTATTTTTTAATTGCATATAATCAGTTTACTATCTCTAAAATTATAGAGGGTATATCTATAATATATCATATAATATAACCCTAAAATAATTACCAAAGTAGGTACAGTACAGGCAGGTACAGTTTTGTTACCAAGTACTCACAACTCACCTATTTTAGTCGATAAGCAGCTTGCTTTGCTGTATTTCGGTAGACGGAGATAAGGCGGTAAAATTACAGGCTCGACGTCATATTCCTCGAGAATAATAACGAATGAACAGTATCATGAGCGACACATGATATATATGCATAGTACTACGTCATGCTGTACTGTATATAGGGGACGTTTTCCACTTACCGTCGTGTGGAATGTCATTGCATTTTTTATTACATCAAAAATATATAATTTGTAATGAATTTGTGTTCAGAGCTATATCCTATTATCAAATTATTAGTAAGATTTTCGAAGTTATACATCTCATATCTATTCTCTCATTTAATGTTATTACTAAAATAGTAATGATTGGATACTTTTAAATTATATTTAAATCGACAACACAAAAGACACCAAAGCGCCTAAAAAGCCTAATCCCAATTATTCAAAATTCCCAAACGACATTAGATTAATAGAATTTCTTTTAAGAAATTATCGTAATTTTTTACATACCAATTTACCCTTAATTAATAATAAATACATTTTGACTTGTATATTTATAAAATATAATATCAAAATTAATACAAATTTTTTTTTGTTAACAGGGTATGGCCAGCAGTTTAACAGCCATTGCACAGGAGACATATAATGTTAATAAAGAATAAACCACATACGTAATATAATACTGGTTTAACTACAAACATTCAAACCTTGAAATTAGACTTTAAAGCTAAATCCTTAGAGTGGATTTTCCAAGTTTGTAAGCTTGAGTTAATTCAGTATTATACGAAATGTTCGAAATGTAAATTCACTTTTAAAAAGGCGAAACACAAAATGGCGCGCACAAATTGGCGCCAAATTTTCATGACGAAAGACATTGTATCGGCACAACCAACATTAATTTTAAGGAAATTATTTAATAGAATAAAAAGCATTGTACATTTTTATAATTAAAATAATGAATAGGACATAATTGTTTATAATTATTGTAAATGTTACATGATAAATGGGATATGGAAATCAGTAGTGTTCAGAAAAAGCATGCTTTTTTGCTGACTTTCTTTTCTGATTTCAACTGTTCAACTACATTACATCAGAGCACGTTTTAAATCAAACTAGCTAAAATCAAATGAAATATGTCTTGTGTCATTTTACTGAATAAAATGACGAAACTACTTTATTTCTTAAGCTATTTTTTTTAGTTTAATTGAGTTTCTTTTGTAACCAAGATTCCCGTACTGTACTTTTATACATTCATATATTTTCGAATATAATTATTAATGAACTCTTCTGTTTCAATAGCCATACAAAAAGTTATTTGATACAAATTTTATGATTTAAAAATGAATTTCCTAAAATGAAAATATTTTTTCTTTATATTCTAATGAGCATTTTCTTGAAGGAAATGTGTTTTAGCTTCTTATTGATTTTTGTTTATGACAATTGTTTTTATATTAATAGTATGTCAATGAACAAAAATAAAGACATTACAATTATATATAATATAAATAATTAGATAATTTGAATATCCATTTATTTTCTGTTCAATTTTTAAATTGGAAATTGTATTCATAAATGTAAGCTTTAATGAATAATAAATATTTTATTTATTTAGTTTAAATTAAATTTTAAAAAAACATACGGGAATGCAAACCAGTCTGTTGTGATAAATAATTTTAAGTTTTTTTTTCTTTAGGAACAAAAATTGTTTTTAATGAATGCTAAAATATTTATTGAGTTTTTTTTCTTACAAAAATTTGGAAGCATAATATTTTTAGCTATATTTTATTGTAATTGCAATCTGTTTTTTACCTGTAAAGATACTTATGGGCTATTGATGATAATATTTATACCTAATAAATTATTATACAGAACAATAATTTTATTATGCCGAATGGTATTTTTTTTAATATTATTATGAATGGACTAAAGTATCAAAACTAATAATCTATCGTGGGGTCTTTACGGGAAGTACATTTTGTAAATATATTTTGTAATATATAGAAAAATAAACTATAAATATAAATATAGGTAGATAGTGTAATTACTTTATAACTACAATGTATTATAAGGAAAACGGAATCTAAAAAAAGTGAATTAATTTCTTTTGTCAAATAAAAAGAGAAAAAGATATATTTTTGTGTTTTCTTTTAAAAATACCTATCTTTTATACTTGTGTAACACAGGGGTCAGCAACCTTTATCAACAACGGGACATTTTAAATTTATTGGCTGATACCACTAACTAAGTAATAACCTATTAATCATTTGCCAAACCTTATTTATAATGAACATTAGAATACATTTTTTTTGTTTTTTTATTAAGTAATATTTTCATTTACAATTTTAATACAAAATAAAAACTTTTTTCGGAAGGATTCGTCATTTTTAAGTGATTTCTTTTTAAAACAACTAACTAAGAATGACTTTGGCAATATATAAATATCCGTTGCGAATACTTCAGGTAACTTTAAAAGTGTACATAATCTAAACCAACAAAAGAATTCGTCACGTTTAAGTGCTTCATTTAAAAAAAAACTACTAACTAAGAATTTTGGCACTATATAACTATCCGCTGCGATTTCTAGTGTACTACTTATATATATATATGCGTCTGTTATAGACGATTTATGATGGTCCGTGAACAGCTCTTTTCATGGCTGTATAAACCAATACGAGAGCGGCATGGCCTACCAATGTACTACTTACAACAAGTGATATAAGTTTAAAAAAGGAAATCTGATGCTGAAATACTAATTCTAATTCCAAAGTACGGGTAACGATTTATTCTGAACAATGTTTATTTGAAAGAGCAACACGCAAGTTTCTTGCTAGTTCTTCTTGTAATGTGTCTACGTTCCGAATGAGTGGTAGAATAAAAAAAATATGGCTATTCAACAGTGCTTAGGTATATTAAGTTTCTTATGTTTAATCTAATAAGTAATCTTTATTGAAAATAAAGATTTTGAAACTGCCACGCAATCACGATATTTTCGAACCGATACGATATTGAAACCTTCAGGAAAATGAGGTTATTCCTTCTTAAAAGGCCGGCAACGCATTTGCATTCCTCTGGTGTTTCGGGTGCTCATGGGCGGCGGTAATCACTTACCATCAGTTGAGTCGCAAGCTCGCTGTCCATTGCGCTATAAAAAAAAACTTCTATTTCAATTGCTGGAATGATATTTTATTCTTCTGGTATGGTAAAGCATGAGTGATATCACGGGCGCATCATGTTAACGTGATGTCCGTGCTATTTATATGGCATATATGTATATATATAGGAGGAGGTTACCGTTTACCATCAGGTGGACCGTCAGCTCTTTTACCATTCTAAGAAAATGAATTACCTATAAAATTAAGTCAATTTCTAAATATATAAAATTCTAGTCAAAAGTCGTATTAGATGCCATATTTTTCCGAAACAGTTTGACCAATATTGATTAATTTTTGTATGTATATTCGGTTGGTCTGAGAATAGTTTTTCTATTTCTAAAAAACTTTTTTATTTTATGGACTAAATTTTGTATTTTTATGACGTGGCATTAAAAAATATATACATTCCTAACTTTTCACTCTTTTACGATCCTCTATTTATTTTAATAGCGATATTAATTTATATGGTAAAACGTTTACCGGGTCAGTGAGTAAATAAATAAAATTAACCTATCCTTAACACAGAAATCCTTCAGAAATTCACAAGCCACCATTTAATTCAAGAATGAGTAATAAAATTCATTTATTGCCAATCAATATATACACTAAACGGAAATCCACCCTACGATCGCCGAGAAAAACACGGTACGTAATTAAAATGGCGATCAGGCCCCAATTATTGTACCTTTATTGAAACGTCGTTGCAAATAGCATGGCACTGTTTTTAAAACGGCGGTGAACACAAAGGGATGTTTGTTTTTGCCGCGCCGCTGTATGGAGAGGACAAAAAATGTCATTGTTGCTAACGATGGAAAAAATACGCAACTAGGTTTGTAACCTTATTACCCGACTGTTAAAGAAAGGTGTGTAGTTGTACATTTTTTCTGGACTACTCTAATGGCCGAATCTAGCCTTTACAGCTTCAGCTGCAAACTCGCGGAAGGAGTTATGGAGCGGCTGAAGGCCAAGTCTTACCTTACGGATATGTCTGCAGTCTGAGGGCACCACTAAAGATTTTTTTTATGGAATGGTGCACCCGTCTGCGCTTACGATTTATAGTGGCGGGGCAACAGTGGAAGATGGTAAGATGACCATGAGATCAGGTAAGTTAGCCCATCGTGGTAAATTCACCATGAATTTATCACGATGGTTTCCAGGAGGAACCACGAAAAGGTCAACCTGACATGGTACATTGGTAGTAAAGGAATTGTTAAGTCCGCATTACTAACAACCCCCTTTCCCCCTACCGTCGGGGGTTCGAACCTCGGCTCAGTGGTAATTTTGATTCCCGTTTAAATTGGACGCGGAATCGATCGGAGAGAGAATTGTGTAAGTTTAGGATTCAATCAATTACCTTTTTTTTTCTCCGATGCTCTTCTGTCTCACAAACACTTAACTTACTCTTAAGGACATAAACACATATAACACACACACTAGTACACTTCAAATCCCAGGATTATTAATATTTCTTCGGAGAAATTCGAGAAACCCTGTCGCTCGGGTACCGAACGACAATGTTAGAATTTTGTCTATAATGTCAAAGTATAGAGGGTAGATACTCTAAAAACATGTAGAAAATACCTACATTATTGAATAATAATCGTTTGACAGATGCGTAAAAAATCTTTTCGTATCTCCAATTATCAAGTGTTTTATGCATTACTACTCGCCCCGGCTTCGCCCGTTTATACATATATACATTTCCTCTTGAATCGCTCTATCAAAAAAAAAACCGTTCAAAATCCGTTGCGTAGTTTTAAAGATTTAAACATACATATATATACATAGAGACGGACAGACAGTGACAGCGACTTTGTTTTATACTATGTAATGATAATGATGACGGATTCCGCAGTCTAGCGGTTTAGCACAGTTAGATTCCTCGCACGATGTAAAAATTTGAATATGATTGTTTGTATTGGTCTGAGTGTTTTGTACATATATTATATATATATTTACAAAAAATATATATTTAAGTATTTCTATATTATTACTATTATATTTTAAGGGTGTCTTTAAGAAATTGCTTATAGAGATATGTTTATCAACTTCCCAACTAATTACGATAACAATTATACATTACATAAATAAACTGAAAAGAATCATCAAAATCAGTTTCGTATTAGTCAATATACGTACAAGAATAATGCTGTAGAATTAGAAAGCTCATCCTTTTGACAGTCGGTTAACAAACCACGTTACTCGATTTTCACATAGTGTAAACAAAAACTACAGCAAAAGCAAGCAAAATAAAAAAATAGCAATTTTCAACTTTATTACAACGGAATAGAATTCACCAAGTTTCATAGACACATGCAATTAAACTGCAAGGTCAATTAACCAGCGCCATAAAGGTTGGCATAGTACAAATTCATTCATTTGTCTGTCTGTATGATTATAAAAAAGTCGCTTCGTTTTCGATTTGAAGCAACATAGTTGCAACTGAACAGTGTGAGAGCTTTATAAACATACGGATTCCGTATAACAATATGATTTTAATAAGAAAGTTCTTATCGTTCAATCATTTTGTGAGTGACGGCCTCGGTGATCTAGCGGTATAGGACACCGCTTTTCCCGATGGTCGCGGGTTCTATTCCTCGCACGGAACAAACATTTGTATTCATGAGTATGACTGTTTGTATCGGTCTGCGTACTTACTATTTTTTTTTATTCCACATGGCAAAGAAGCAAACAAGTTTAGGGTATATTAAGGTCTCTTAAAGGTCGGCAAGGGGCACGTGGCACCCCTTGTGTTTCAGGCGTCTATAGGCTACGGTAAACATTTACCATCAGATTCCTTCATTCATTCATAATTTAAGAGCTACGCTCTTGTCGGTGGAGCTCTTGCCACTTTCCGCGATCTTCCATCATGCTCTTTAATTCTTGATACGACACGACTCCCATTTTGTCCTCAATTTGTTTGATGTAGCTATTCCTTGATCTTCCCCTCCCCCTCTTTCCTTCTATTTTCCCCTCAATAATAATTTTCATGAAATCATCGTGCCGCATCAAGTGTCCTAACATTTTTCCACGTCTATTTTCTATTGTGTTCAATATATGCCTTTTTTCTTTTACCCTGTGTAGTACCAGATTCCTTAGTAGTCAAAAATATTATGAGAATAATTTATTCATTAATTAAAAAAAAGTGACAAAACCCGCAATTTTCTACGGAACCCTAAACTATCAGACATGGCATTAGTATTCAAGTTGTTCGACATTTACATTAAAAAGGTAAAAAAATTGATACCTACCCACTGTTTGTATAATTGACATCTTTAACTTAGTAGTAATGAAGTTAGAATGGCCCTCGTAAACGTTGACAGAACTTGTTCGAGGAGAGGGGATAATTAGTAATGGGGACTTGTGACCCCATTGTTAGCGGTATATCATGTCAGGTTGATCTACGCAGAGTTTTCTTTGGAAATTATTGCCATTCATTCCTAGTAAAAACGTCTCTGTAGCGTGACTGACTTCCTCGAAAACATAATCGTAATATCCTATTAATATTATAAACGCGGAAGTTTGTCTGTATAGATGGATGTTTGTTACTCTTTCACGTAAAAACTTCTGAACGGATTTTAATGAAATTTTACAGTAATATAGCTTATATATCAGAATAACACGTAGGTTACAAATTAAAAAGATGGTCTGTAGTAGAGATGTGTCAACTCGAGTTAACTCGAGTTAAATTCTGCCAATTCGTGCTGTAAATTTTTTTTTCGCATATTTGTCCGATTATGTTATTAATAAAATGATTATGCGTTCCATAAGTTCTTCCGCGGCGTTAAAGTGCCATTTCTGCTCGCCCCCTAAAGTTTGGTGAAGCTTTCAAGGCCAGCTGCGCCCAAAACCATTAGAATTGTTCGAAAAACTAAAAAACAATACTTTTTATTCCAGGAACTCGAGTCAACTCGAATTAAATCGAGTCATGTTTATTACGAGTTAGCAGATCTCTAG